CTCAATTTCGGGAGGCAGTGTGATCCTTTTCTCTCCCAAAGAGCTTACCAAAGAACTTCCAATCCGCTCTCCCTAGCTATAGTTTCTTTTGTATAGTTAGTACCGATAACCGTAAAGTCGATACCCGTAAAGTCTACGTGTTATTATTTATCGAGTGCATTTCAGAGTTAGAGCCGCCCCCCTCCAACATTTGGTCCTTCGAGCCGGATTTCATCCACCAGCAGCTCCGGTGGCTTTAACACCGCACAAGATAAGTTTTAATACATTATTGCTGCCGGTCATACAGTTAGGTTTTGCGAAGCTCAATTCGTCTAACTTCTCTGTATGATTACGGTCTAAATCCTAAGTACGATTGATCCGACACACGGCAGCATAATAACATCCAATTCCAAATTCAAAATAATTCGGTTTCCAAATTTTCTACATTTGTGTGAAATTTCTGTGCCGAAATCCAAAAGTGTGTTTAAATAAATGCAATAGCCACAGTGAGAATTTAATTCCAATAGTTCTCAATTCCTCTTCGTTACCTGTGTTCCCGCTAGCATTTATTTACATTTACATACATATTCAATACAGTCCACTCCATAAGACTACGATCGCTGTCAATATTGACAGTTCCCCGAGAAATTATATCCAAATAATTTCTATACAAGACCTACGGGTTCCAAAATTCCGAAAGTGTTTGTTTAAATGAATGCCTAAGCCACAGTGAAACTTTCAGTTCCGAATTGTTTTAAATTCCTTTACGTTCGCTGTGTTCCGCTTGCATTTATTTACATTTCCACTACAGTCCACTGTTCTCCTACTACTTCCTCAACTTCTGAGTATACATAAATATATCCACAGATTTATAACAAAAAATAAAAACACAAAAGAAAAACTACTAACACAGTCCACTTTACTCCGAATCATAATATATAAATATATAACCCAATATATGAATATTCCTAAACGTACTACATACCTACATGCTACAATTACTGTCCGCAGCTACTACAATTATAAATTTATTTAATTCGTACATATATTTGTTTATTTCCACCCTTGCTCTATCCTGAGCTGAACTCCACCTAAGTAATATACATATGTACATACATACATAATCGTCTGCAAGTCGACGCTCCAATATTTGGCAATTTTTTTCCGCCTCTCCTTATCTCCGCTATTTTGCACTTGCATACGACAAGTGCACAAAATATACACACACACGTATTGGTTCCGAAATACAGCACCGGTCAATCAAATAAGACCAGACAAATAAAATAATTTTAAATTATTTTATATTAAAATTTCAACTAACCGATTAAGTTAGAAATCCAAGTGTGCTTCCATATCCGCATTAGTGTGGCCGTATTTTCGTAATTCCGTATTTAATTCAAACATTCTCGATTTAAATTCCATACGAGAAAAATACAATTTTCCACAAATAATAATTATTTCGAAAATAATTATTACGAGTCCGATTGGTTCCTAAATTCCCAATCCAACTTCGACCTATAAATTATTTTGTAATATATACCTATTTATAGTAAAAATTATAAAGAAATATCCAGAATGGCTCCTTCAATTTTAGACAAATTTACTTTGATCTGTGACCGTCTAAGTCACTTCGAGTCCCGAGTCTGCAATCCAGCAGCGCCCACTCCATCCAAGTACTCTTGCCAAATCCATCTCGACCAAGTCCGAGCGCTATGGGATAAGGTCGAGAAAGAGTACGAAGATTGTTCAGAGCTGATTTCAGTTGGGTTAGAGGGCGCGGAGGACACCTTGCCTACTCTTAAGGCAAAATACGACTACTCCTATTTTATTTACGGACGGTGTGCCGCCCAGCTCATGGAACAGATCGATACGATCTCCTCCAAATCGTCTCCAGTCCAACCTCCTGCGCCCCAAAATTCCTTTCCGTCTGGCTGTCGGCTTCCTCCGTGCGAAACGGAAGTTTTCTCGGGCGATTATCTTCGCTGGCCGACTTTCCGGGACCTTTTCACAGCGGTCTATATCGACAATCCTACGCTGACTCCTGTAGAAAAATTGTTCTATTTAAATGCCAAGACGAGTGGTGAATCTCATTACATAGTTTCAAATTTGCCACTGACCAACGACGGTTTCCGCTCAGCATGGAAAAACCTATCTGAGCGTTTCGAAAATAAACGCGCGTTGGTCAACAGCCAACTTAAGAAATTGTTGAACATTCAGTCCATTGAACGTGAGTCCTCGGCAGCCTTGAAGGAGCTGCAAAATACAATTCAAAATTGCCTCACATCCCTAACTCTGTCCGGCCTTCCTACGGATAATTGGGATTGTCTATTGGTTTATTTGAGTTCCACGAAGCTTCCAAAGCTGACGCTCTCATTATGGGAGCAGTCCTTACCAAATAAAACCGAAATTCCGACGTGGCTAGAATTAGATTCTTTCCTTACTGAGCGCCATAGAACTCTGGAATCTATAAATTCTATCCAACCTCCTACGATACGCCTCAGTCCGTCCAACCCGAAAAAATCCATCGTGGCACCGCGAGTACTACAATCCTTTAGTACACGGATTGTTCACTTATCCAAAAGATGCGATTTGTGTTCTGCAGAGAACCATCCCGTGCGTAAATGTGTGGACATCCTGTCGACGAACGCTCAGCGTTATCCTACGCTTTCCAGAGCTAATACTTCCTGGTACTTTTGCTGCGTATCCTCGCAAGGGGGGGGAGAATGTTCACGCCAGAAAGGCGCTCAATTTCGGGAGGCAGTGTGATCCCGAACGCTTTCCTTTTCTCTCCCTCTTCCTCCGGACTTCCAGTCCAAAGAGCTTCCAATCCGCTCTCCCTAGCTATAGTTTCTTTTGTATAGTTAGTACCGATTTACCTACGATTTAATAAAGACATCCGACGCACGTCGCGCAAAACCCCGTAAAGTCTACGTGTTATTATTTATCGAGTGCATTTCAGAGTTAGAGCCGCCCCCCTCCAACAACCTTCATATCCGGAAACCAATAATGTCTCATTATTTCATTTACACATTTGTCTGTACCTAAATGACATAAATTTTCGTGAACTCTCCTGATTACATGGGTTTCCATTTCAGCTGGCACATATAACAATTCGATATCATTATCACCTAATCTATAAACAATTCCATCACTCAATACAAACTTCTTTACATATCCCTGTTCTAACTTTTCTTTTAACTTTACAATAAGACTATCTCTATTTTGCGTTATCTGAAGCTGAAGGTTTATGTCATCACTATCAATCACTGAAACTATTTTATCTTGGTTGTCACATTCTTGTATTGTTACTACTGGTTCATACTCAAAATCTTGATTAAGGGCTGAAGGGTATCTACTCAATGTATCAACATGGGTCATATATTTCCCACTACGATGCTTAAGAGTATAATTATAATTCTAGTTCTAATTCTAAGGCCCATCTGGCAATATTCGAATTAAGGCGTCCCTTTCCTAAACATAAAACTACTGCATTACAATCTGTTACTATGTTAAATGGTATTCCTTCTAGATATATTCTGAATTTTCGTAATGAATAGACAACAGCTAATGTTTCTAATTTAAAACTTTTATATCTTGCTTCAAGTTTTGTTTTTGTCTTTGTGAAAAATACGCAATTGGATGAAACTTATTATCGTCTTGTTTCTGTAATAAAATTCCACCAAACCCTTCACTACTTGCGTCACAATGTAATTCTGTTTCTCTATTTGGATTATACAGAGCTAAAATTGGAAAAGATATTAATTTCTCACGAAGATACTCAAAGATTTTTATGCAATTTTCGTTAAGTTCGTACTTAAAGCCTGCTTTGGTTAGGTCTTGCAATGGTTTTGCTATTTTTGAATATGCCGGAATAAATCGCCTAAAATAAGAAAATAATCCTAAACACTTTTGCATACCATGGCGATCTTTTGGTATCGGAAGATGTTTAATCGTCGATGTATGTTCATGATTCGGACTTATTCCTTTCCCTCTGAGAGTGTATCCTAAAAATGCAATGCTTTGGTAAGCGAACTGACATTTGCTCAACTTAATTTCTAGTCTATATTCTGCCAGAATTCTCAATACTCTTCCTACAGTTATAAAATTATCACTAAGTGTCTTCGAACCTATTGCAATATCATCTATATAAACTACTACATTTCCTTCACGTATCAATGGCTACAGAATAAAATTAATAAATCTTATAAATACTGCAGGTGCATTCATGAGTCCGAAAGGCATTCTTGTATATTCATATTGACTGGAGGGTGTCACAAAAGCTGTGTACTGCACTGAATTTTCTGCTACTTTCACTTGGTGGTATCCACTTTTTAAATCTAAAAGTGTGAAATATTGGTTCCCTTCTAATCTCTCTAAACAATCATCTATCAGAGGTAATGGGTATCCATCACGAATAGTTATCTTGATAAGTTGTCTATAATCCACACACATCCGTTTTTCTCCCGATTTTTTCTTAACAAGTACAATAGCAGAACTATAAGGCGAATTACTTTCTCTTATAAATCCTTTCTTCAATAATTCATCAATTTTACTATCTACTTCCTTCTTTTCCTCATATGAAAGTCTTCTTGGAACAGTACGTACAGGTTCTTCCGATTTAAGTCTTAGCCTCATTTCATAATTATGTTGGATCGCTGGAATGTTGGCTAAATCCAAATAATTTAATCTTATTATTTTATTGAGTTCACTACGGTCCTTATCATTTATCTTCGGATCTATGTCAAAATTTTCATCATCCCTTAATATGTCAATACTATATATAAATGGTATGCTATCATCACTGTCTCTTCCGATATCCTTATATAATTCTACTGTATCATTTTCAATGTCAAAACTATTCTCTGATTCATTGTCACTATTCAATTCATTCAATAAAATCTTCAATCTATGCAATGGGTCACTATTAATATTCACTGGGTCACTATCAATATTCAATGGGTCACTATCAATATTCACTGGGTCACTATCAATATTCACTGCAACAATATCTTCTCTTTTTCTAATTTCATCCTTAAAAATCAACTTTATTCCAAATTTTTCCAAAAACTTACGACCTAAGAGTACATTAGTTGCGACATAATTGTCGGGTACAACAAATAAATCAATTTCTTCTTCAATGTTTTGAAAATAAAGTTTAACAAAAATTTTTCCAAATGTTTCTATTTGAGCTCCATTTACACCACAATATTCTGTTGGGGTCAACACGTCATTAAACTTTTTGTAGGGTATAGCTATGCGCTGGATTAAATTAATGGCGCTACCGGTATCGAACATGGCAGAAAGGAATGTTTTTTTATTATTATGTTGTCTACGATCAGTGCAAAAATATACTTCTACCTGATTGAAAATAGGTATAAACATCTCGTTCTGCTGCTCATCTCGTCCGCTCTGATTGTTGGTCGCTCCCACGACTCTCGGAGTAGTTGCTGGCTTCTGTTGGCAGTCCTTTAACATATGCTGAAGGGATCCACAGCGGAAACAGGATCCTTTCTCGCGCTTCGGCGCAGTACAAGACGAAGCGTAGTGTCCATGTGCCGAACAATTAAAGCAGCGTATCAGGTTTCGGCTCCCTCTAGCGATAGTGCCTCCTGTGCGATAGGACACATTTTGGGAATTTTTTCGTAGAAACGCATATTTTTGTGACATTTCCTTTAGTTGTTCGATTGTGGTTGCCGAGTACAACAGTGCGATATTGGCTGAACGATTGCGAAAACCATCGATGATGAATTGTATGGTTAGTTTTTCATCAATATTAGCACGCAGCGCAATTTCCTCCATTTTGAGAATGTAACCTATGACGGTGTTCTTGTCAGGGTTAAAAATGGTTTCCTTCAACAACAATACTACATCGGCTGTTGAATTGCCGCGGCCAAATGTTTTCACAAAGTTTTCCTTAAAATCGCCATACGTATTCGATCGGTCGACACGCAGAAACAAGTCGGCATCTGTCCCTGGTTTCATCAGCATACGAACACAACGTAATTGAAAAGTTGCGTCATCATTTACACTTCTGCAAGCTCTTTCAAAATCCAAGATCCACTGAAGTGCTTCTTCGTTTTCAGTAGCAGAGAACGGAACCATGAGCTGCTTTACAATTTGGACGTCATCAGTCACCTTATTGTCATTTTGCATCAATCTGGCGAGTATTTTCTTCTTCTCAGCTACTCTTATTGCGGCGTCAAGGGCTTCTTCTTCTTCTTCCAATGTGTGCTCGATATGTTCGCTCGCGGTCCCCTGGCTCATGAGTTCCATTTTGGTGTCTTCTTCCTCCGATATGGTTTCAGGAACCTCATGAACATCTTGGCAACCGGCATTTGAAGCAAGCTTACGCAGTTGTCTGAGTGTTGCGCTTGTTGGGAACTCGATTTCGTTGGCCTTTAGCCATTCCACAATCTTTGACTTATCCATTTCCAGTTGGCGTGGTGCTCCCAATTCAATTATGAGAAAAAAACGTTGTATCTTTCTCGGATAGCACAAAATACACGTGTAGGCGCTTGTGTAAGACGGTTGTTATCCCACTTCTGAAGTTATAAACGTCGATTCTCAGTTGATTGCTTCTATTTCCACGATTTTATTAATAATCTTTTTATATTTCGCCAATGTGCGTTCTCGAACAATCGTAGAGTGACCGTATCTTCTTTCTCTTATAATCCTAACCTTCTTATATATTAACATTGTGTTAATTGGAACAACGGAACTGAAACATAAATGCTAATTGTAGAAATACTAAATGCTAACAAATGCTAAATACTAAATGCTAACACAGCTCATATCTCAAAGTAGATGAAAATACGTTGAAAAACAATGAAGTTATAATTTTTTCTATTACTTTCCCTATCGTTCCTATGGCAGCTATAAGATATAGTCGTCCGATTTTCATAAAATTTATACCAAAATTCTGAAATAATACCAGAAGCTTATGTTTTAAAGTAGATTAAAATACGTTGAAAAACAACGAAGTTATAATTTTTTCTTTTACTTTCCCTATCGTTCCTATGCCAGCTATAAGATATAGTAGTCCGATTTTCATAAAATTTTTACCAAAATTCAGAAAAAATATATACCGGCCAAATCTGAAAAATTGTGCAAAAATGTTGAAAAACAGCCAAGTTATAATTATTTTTCCAAAAATGTATCGAACATTTGTATGGCAGCTATATGATATAGTCGTCCGATCCGGCCCGTTCCGACATATATAGCAGTGAGAGTATATAAAAGACTATATGCGAAGTTTCATTCAGATAGCTCCAAAACTGAGGGACTAGTTTGCGTAGAAACGGACAGACGGACGGACAGACGGGCAGACGGACATGGCTAGATCGACTCGGCTGTTGATGCTGATCAAGAATATATGTATATATTTTATAGGATCGGAAACGTCTCCTTCACTGCGTTGCAAACTTCTGACTGAAATTATAATACCCTGCAAGGGTATAAAAATATATATATTATTATTTTAATACCTTGTTACCTGGTTACTCCGACCGCCTGTTAAGGCAATAGTAAGGAAAGGTCACAAGTTTTATTTATTGATTATTTATTATTCTTAAACCCGTTAGGGCAAGGGAAAATCAAGTTACAATATGGGTTATTGGTAATAAACACAGCTAAGGCAGTGGCGTTATAATTATAAACTAAACTAAAGGTCTACACCGGCCGCGGCTCGAGGCCTTCGGCTCGCCGCAGCGCTGCCGCCAAGATGCTTGGTCAGCACTTGGTATCCGGCTCATGTCGATCATGCGCTGCCCCAGTGCACTATGGGGAATTTGGCCATTTCTATGGTATTAATTAATAACTTTTAAGCTAAGTGATATATTTCGAAACGGTTTTTTTATTATAGTTATGGACTCAATAAAAAATGTTTTTAGGAAAAATGGGCAAGGTTCCGCCCTCACTTGACGATTTTTTTTTTGAATTTTTTGAGTGTATAAGGTGATTTTTTCTTTTATAGCAACCAATATATTTTATAAACATAATAAAAAAAATACATTGTCTTCATTTTCAAGTTCTTCGTCAGATATAAAATAAAAAAGGTCATTTTCATATTCAATTTATTCATAAAAGAGGTCCAGGCCTTCAAATTCGCTAATAACTTCCATTTGGCACTTACATTAATGCAAAAAAAAATTAGCTTTTGCCTTTTAAAAAGATAAAATGATTTGACACATTAATATTTAACTTGAAAAATGTTTTTTTCTTCGTAAAATTTGCTCGAAAAGACCTGCAAAAAAAATTAAATTACGCAGATTGTGCGGATTTGTGCACATTGAGACAAATTGCCTTTTATTTAGAATGAATGCTTCTACAACACATATCATATAATTCGTTCTACTTTAAAGTTTTTCACTTTCAAAGTTACCGAATAAAAAATAGCTATTTTCAATCACGTGCATTTTGCCTACAACAGCCGACTTTAACAGTAGATAGGCTGAACAGAGCACTATTAATTAACATTTCTGGTACTACATTTTATAGAGCCATATATTTTAAAGATGTTTTCATAAAAAAAATAAAATATTAAGTTTGATAAAATGACTAAATACCATAAAAATGGCCAAATTCCCCATAGTGCAGTGTTCCCGGCACTGCTGGTAATGTGCCGGGTCAGCAACTAGTTGCCTGGCGACGGACTCCGGGCAATTGCCCTCGGAGTGCTTGGTCACCAGATTCGCAGTTGCGTGTGTTGGCCACCGGATGTGGCCTGCAACTATGCGAATTCCCTTTATGGGAAATGGGTGTGTTAACTTATATACACTTGGACACCAGCCGATCACAGCACGACTAAGTGGGGGGCCGATATTAACTAAGTACTTTTGCATTTAAAAAAAGACTTGAGGAAATTTTCTGTGGCATGGCGTATATCACTCTATTTCGGATCTAAGAAAAAAATAAAGGCCTTGGAAAAGGAATATGGCGACCACGGACGAATGGACTTTGAACTTAATCTTAATCTTAATCTTTGGTATTGATCAGGAGGCTCGAAGGACCATGAAATGGAGGGGGCGGATATTTCCAAAAGTTTGCGTCCTTCTCGGGTGATGTCGGTGGCCGCTGGGATGAATGCTAAAGGTTTGGATGGACTGAGGCGTAACGTAGGAGGTTGAATAGAATTTATAGTTTCCAGAGTTCCATGGCGCTCAGTAAGAAAAGAATTTCGGTTTTATTTGGTAAGGATTGCTCCCATAATGAGAGCGTCAGCTTTGGAAGCTTTGTGGAGCACAAATAAACCAGGAAGCAGTACCAATTATCCGTAGGAAGGCCAGACAGAGCTAGGGATGTGAGGCAATTTTTAATTATATTTTGCAGCTGCTTCAAGGCTGCCGAGGACTCACGTTCAATGGATTCCATGTTCAATAATTTTTTCAGTTGGCCGTTTACCAGCGCGTTTATTTTCGAAACGCTCAGTTAGGTTTTCCTATGTTGAGGGCAATCCGTCATTGGTGATTGGTGAATTGGAAACTATGGAATGAGCTTCACCACTAGTCTTGGCATTTAAATAGAACAACTTTTCTACAGGTGTCAGCGTAGGATTTTTGATGTAGACCGCTGTGAAAAGGTCTCTAAAAGTCGGCAAGCGAAGATAATCGCCCGAGAAAACTTCCGTTTCGCACGGAGGAAGCCGACAGCCAGACGGAAAGGAATTTTGGGGCGCAGATGGTTGGACTGGAGCAGCTTTGGAGGAGATCGTATCGATCTGTTCCATGAGCTGGGCAGCACACCTTTCGTAAAGAAAATAGGAATACTTGTATTTTGCCTTAAGAGTAGGCAAGGTGTCCTCCGCGCCCTCTAAGCCAACTAAAATTAGCTCTGAACAATTTTCGTACTCTTTCTCGACCTTATCCCGTTGTGCTCGAACTTGGTCGAGACTCCATCCAAGAGGACTTGGATGGAGTGGGTGCTGCTGGATTGCAGACTCTGGTCTCGAAGTGACTCAAACGGTCACAGATCAAAGTAAATTTGTTTAACATCGTAGAAGTAATTTTTATATATTTTACGACAATTTACTGTAAATATATATTACTAAATATTAATGGGTCGCAGCTGGATTGGGAAATTAGGAACCAATCGGACTCGTAATAATTATTTTTGGAATAATGATTACTTCGTGAATTACTTCGTGAAAAATTGTATTTGAAAAAGACAATTATATATGTTAGTTTTCTTACCTTTTGTTTGTAATGTGACTACGGTCACAGCGATTGAAAAATTTAAACATTAAAAAAGACCGCAATTCGCAGCGTTTAACTATTAATTCCTGAATTCCTCGTCGAAGTAAGTACGCAGCAATGCAAGCGGCATTTGCAAACAAATTTTATAATTATTAGAAAAAAGGTTAATTTAAAATAATTGTGCATCGCAAGAAACGCGCCATCTAAAACATTCCAATATTTATTCAGATTAAAAAACCAGTAAAATGATATTCTCATTTTAAGTTTCGACCTCCAATGAACTAATAATATAATATACTTTTTAATAACAATTATCTTCATTAGGGCAGCATTTTCTTAACGGTCAAAAATTGGAATATATATATTTATTTAATATCTATATAGTGACATTCAACTTTGTTCAAATAAATAAAAATATGCAGCGTAGGCGATCCCACGCTGAACACCTGCAAGCAATCTACATCCAGAGCAAGCAATGCCGCTCTTCTATTACAAAACAATAATTCTTAGAATCACTAAGTGCCCTCCATGGATGGCACTCATTCGTTCCCACATTATGTACAACCAATATCCCAAGATCTCTTTGTAAACAAAGAGCACCTCAAGAAATATTTTTGTAACAAGAAATTAGTCTTAAGCTGAGATCAAATCAATAAACACCTAAACCTAAACTTGTGTGTGAATTTATTCTCCTTAGCGTTGTCCTTAGCCAACTGACGGAACATTAGTTCGACTCAATTAATAAACATTTTACTGGCGCAGTCGGGTAGGATACAAAAAGTATCCGAGAAAAAGAACCTCGAGTGAAAAATAAATTTAATTTTATAATTCAGTTCTCGAATAAAATTACGCTACAAACCCTTCAACTTGGATTATAATTCCAATTCGGTTGTCCAACAAAGTGGAAGAAATAAAAATAAAATAAAACAACAATAAGTCCAAATGCAACTAACAGTTAAGAATAAAATAAAAAATAATTAAGTTAAACAAGCGCTAAAACTTTTTTAGTGAAATCAAAATAAAAATAAAACCAAATTTTTATTTTACTGTAACAACAAAATTACAATTATACAATAATGGCACAATCAATTATTGCCGCACCCCAAGTCGTGGTGCTAAACGACACCAACCTTGCTGAAGCTCGTCGGCAGCTAAAAGACATCATGCCATTTAAGGATGATCCAGAAACCCTCTACACTTTTATCAGCAGAGTGGACTATGTAATTTCGCTCTACCAAACTAATGATTTGCGACAACAGAGAATTCTACTTGGAGCCATTGAAAGGAACTTGGACGGACATGTAACCCGATCATTGGACCTTCAGAATATCGAAGATTGGCCTACCCTTAGATCAAGACTAGTTGCAGAATTGAAGCCCCAAACACCGAATTACAAACTACTGGAGAACTTCAGGGAGACACCTTACAAAGGAAACCTGAGAGCATTCTGCGAAGAAGCCGA